AAGTACTTTTGAACTTGTCTTAAAACTTTCTTCTTAAAAATGGCGCTCGATAATTCCACTTTTAAAGCCTTACTGGTTAAACTAATTCTATTCCTGTCTTTCATTCAATGTCAAAGGAATTTGATCGTTTCAAATTTCTAAAACCCTTGACCTATTCCGTAATTTGACATGTGGAACCCCGATGTTTTAATAATCGATAGCAAATTACGATGTCATTGCTATCTGTCATGATTGTTGTGATGTCGAAATTAAGTGAGCTTCTTACGGCAAAATTTCTCAGTGGGAATCGAACTGTAATTCTATTTTTATCTTCAATTTGATTTATTTTTATTTTTTAAACTGTTCTGGGAGTTTTTTTTTCTTCCTTTAATCTTTCAGAGAAAAACAATTTCTTTTCTAATAGAATGAGTATTTTCAGTCATATATTTGCTTTTGAATCCTTGATTTAATCAGCTTTGAAAGGAAAAGAAAAGCTTTAAAAACAAAGACGACATTTTGCAGAAGATTTAATGGTTTGAAAGTATTATTTAAATAAAATGAGTTGTCTTTGTGCTGCGTATAAATAAGGTAAAAACAAACATAATTCATCGCAAATGTTTTTCTTAATGTTAGTTTCATGTTAGTATTTTATTTGTGCCTTTCAAGTCTTTGTTTTTACTTTGTTTCCAAATAAAATGTCAGAAATTTCGGAGTATTAAACCAAAATATGTTTTAAGTTTACTGTAACTTGAAGTATGTTTTAATTTGAGTTAGATTATCGTACTGCTGAAGTACTTAATTTAAAACTTATACCTGGTAGGACGTTCAGAGGTCATTTTATGATCCCACATGCATTCTGCAAGTTCAGACTCCTGGTAAAATATTTCTACATCGATTTTTTTTTATAGTGTAGTGAGTTTTCCATCCTTATCTGCCTTGTGTGAATAATTAGAAATAATTCTCAGCATTTTTTTCTTCCCCAAAAGATATTTAATCAGTTTCCAGGGCCATAGAATAAAGTCATGTGTCTTCCCCTTTGTTCTAAAACCGCATTTCTCATTGATAAGTACAGAGCACTAATTTTTATTGCCAGTATAAATGATTTCTACTTGTTTATAATGTTCCGGAAAGCTTTGCCGCAATAAATACAATAAATGCTTGCTCTCTAGAAAAAATTCACCTAGTATAGTAACTGATGGCGTTAATTAACAGTGTATAAAATTAAAGACACTGCTAATATGCTTAAAATGGTTTTGTCTGCAATCTCCAAAATTGAAATAAAAAGCTACTTCAAAGAAAATTTTGCCCAAGGAATCAAGAACTATTGAAACAAGCAATTTGCGCGCATTTTATTTATGTATTTTATTTATTTTTTTGCAGGGAAAATATAATTTCTATGCGTAGTAATGTATACAATTTTGTCTCCAAGAAATTAAAATATAAACAAGCATTAATTCATACATTCATATTTGCAGTTCCACAATCATATTGAGCATAATATAATGAATTGCATACTAGTTATCAGATAAATAAATGTTCATATGTTTTGTTAAATTTTATAGCAAAAACAATGGTAAAAATTCTCAAATTTTTAAACATTAAATATTTATTGTCTAAGACTCAAATGTCTTATATTTTAAATGGAAACAATAAGGCTTTATAACCGAGCATGAATGAATTTAGTAGTGCATTTCATGACCCCCGCGTGTCTTAACTTTCACTCAGGAGACTCGTCTTTTTTCTGGTTAATTATGGTTGCCACAAATTTAAACCTTACTGATGGTCCAAAAGTGTAGGCACATTTTTAATATTTTCGGATTAATTTATGATTAATAATTCGCTAATCAAAGGGATCTTAGAGATAAAAAGAAGATTTGAATGCAAACTAAGCTGCCATTCTTTAGTAGTTGAATTGGTTCTTATATGTAAGCAAAATTAGCTGTGATTTCTTGCAAATGAACGTATGGAATATTTTTCTTCACTCTCTTGAACTCTAAGGAAAATATAATGAGAAAAATTGAACTTTTTTAATATGTACTGTAATGCGGATGTAAATTATTGACACAGGGAAAAGACGACTAAAAAAAGTATGCAATAAGTTTTTTCAATAATAAGAAGAAAAAAAAATGGAAATATAGCAATTGTATTTTTGGTTGTGGAAAACATTTGCGCTGAGTAAGCAGAATTGGTGATGGTTGATTAGGACAATCATGACCTATTTGAGACTGCAGTGTCAAAGAAGATTATGATTTTGTGTTTAGTTTATTTTATCGAAATGCAAAGTGATAGAAAGTAATATAAAATAGTGATTCTGATAATTTCAATTATGACCGATGGTACTGTGAATTAATTACAAGAGGACCCACAATACTCCTTAAGCAATTATTTTTTGAAACGAGTTATTATTGCTTGGGATGCTTTTGTTTGGGTTGCATTATTATTGTTATTGGGACACTTTTTAATTTGGAGTTTAGTTTAGCTATACTTCCATGACAATGATTATTTTTACAGGCGTATTTTAATTAATTTTAAGAAAGCCTAGAAAACTCTTAATTCTTATTTAAGATATTTTGCTTAAAACTCACTGATATTTAAATGCGACTACGCATCAATGCACAAAATTGCAGCACAAACTAAGATATAAATAGTTTAACTCACAAAAGGATCCACCTTAATTGCAAACTAGGAACAAACGTATAAAAAATTTAAAATTTTGAAAATAAAAATTTATAATGAGAGAAAAATTAAACTGAAAAAATATTAAAAAAATAAAAAATTGCCCTCCTCAAGCTATTATCTTCCACTTGGGAAAAAAAAAATCAATGGGTCATTCGCAATTTTTGGGTATTCTTGTAAGCCCAAACAGCCTATTGAAGAAGAAGAAGTGCGACATTTTTAAACTGAATGCTAATGAAGAAAAATAATTATCTTATCATATAAATGTTATAATATTCATCAATATAGGAAAAAAAATATAAATATTGTGTAATGTTTATATATTATACAAATCATTTTGAATTTTTTTCATGGCAACTATTCTTAATATTTAGGTATAATAAGAAAAAAATTCTAATTGATTTTTTGAAATCATTACTTTCGTTATCAATTAATAATTATTTAATCATTTATTAATTGTCTTCGTGGGAAATATTTCGCGGATTTGCTAAAAATGAAGTGAGTAATCGTCTCAGGCATTTATCAAAATTGATAGTATGTCAGTTAAACGTGATCATTAATTTATTAATTATGGGTATTATAAAAGCTCTCACCTCTCACCTTCTCAAGCATATTTCAGTAGGGAGTAGAAATAAATTTAATGACTCAAATTACATGCTCATTCGAAACTGTTGGAAGATAATTTTCCACTTTAAAGAAAATTATAGGCTTTAATTGCGTAACCTCATTATTTTGTAAGTGTCTAGGAAATTAAGAAAAAAGTAGCTATCTTAATGATCATAATGTTAATAAAAGTTTATTTTTTTAATAAAAATGTCAGTAATATATATATATATATATATATATNGTTCTTGTTTTTAATAAACAATTTTTTAAAAATGTTTCTTGAGAAACAGCCAGTAAATTGGGAAATTGTATGACAATAACTATATATGTGTGTGTGTGTGTGTGTGTGTGTGTGTATACACATATATATAGATAGATAGATATCCACTCGTTATTTCTTTTTATAAAATAAATCGTCAGCAGCAAAAATATGATTGTAAAAGACAGTAATTTTCCAGAGAAATTTATTATATGGCTTAGAGTTCTGTATAGCATAGTAAATAAAAACATGCGTTAGACTAATGAGTAACATTCACATTTATGTCTTTGGCATATACGGATAAATTAATTCAAGTAAAATTACCCCCCCCCCTCTGGTAAAAAAGAAAGAAACACATAATTCTGATTGAGCCGAAATATACAAGAGTAAAACCATTAATTTGGTATTCTTCTGTTCATATGGTAACGGTTTACCAGAAATTCTGGTTTCCAACACTAGAACAACCGGATTTCTTACTTCCCAAAACCGCCATTTGGGGTCGGTGTGAAATTGAAGTAGATGTTACTCCAAAGTAAATGATTTTCATATTGACGAGTATCGTTAAAAGTACGATACATAAAAGGTTTCGGAGATTAATATATTTTTTTATTGTTTATTGACTTACTGACAATATCTCAATACACAATGATATTGTATAATATAGTACTCTTTGTCGGTATCACACAAAAATGAGAGGAAAAAGATACGAATATAAGCAATACGCATTAGCCCACGCGTGTTTTAAAACTTGGAAATTCTGTAATCAGTTAGACATTAACAAGCTTGTAGAGTATATCAGCATGGCAAAAAAGCAGCAAGAAAACATCTACCTGGTTTCTAGTTCTGGCTCTTTCATATTTATCAAAAATTTTGCTACGTCCCTTGCAAAGTTAAAATGTATGTATCTTTTATTTTAGAGACTGAATTTTCTTAAGTAGGTGCTATATGATGTGCAAAACAATGTTTCGAAAATTCTTCAATAAGCACAAGAATGAACTCACAAATACGTAATTAATAGTAACAAAAGATTCCTTTAAAACTGCCCAAACTTTTCGGACAGCAATGTAATAAACGTTGCAAAAGAAGTCCATTCTACCTGCAAGTTTCACATCATGTAAAATAATTAAAATAACGTTTGTGTGAAATTGTTATCGCTGATGTGCTAACATTTGGTCCTGTTGTATTTAAAGTAATTTAAGTAATTTGGTTTCACTTTCAGAATTACGGTTTTCTTAACCAGGAAGGTCCTTACTAAGCAGTGCAGTAATTTTACTGGATTTTTTTTTCTCCATGCATGATTAAATAAGTCATATACCCTAATGAAAACTATTTAAATGATGCTCAGCTGCGTGAATAAGACGAGTAATGATCTGAATTTTAATTAATTCAACTCGTAATAAAATAATAATTAGATGTTTTTTAATTTATTTTGAAATGCAATGTTATATAATTATGCAATATATAGTACAATACTACTTACAATTCATATCAACCGTGACAGTGGCTGAAGTTGGCACGGAGACGTTGTTATTGGAAGCCTGACAAGATAAGACTGCCATTAAATCATGTCTTTGTAGAGAAGATATCAACAATTCATTTCTTACAACGCTATCTGTCATTATATCATAACTATCATCCAGAAGAACAGATTCTCTCCACCATGTAACCGAAGGAACTGGCTGACCTGTAAGGTAAATGTTATTTATTAATTTGGAAGTGGTACACAATGAAACAAAATGGCTGACCTTCAAAACAAAATGAAACTTTATACATGAATATAACAATGCAATCAAAGCACTTTCTGAATATTTTTTTTTAAATATATTTTTTTCTTATCTCTAAAAGAACGTTGGAGTAAGCAATTTAAACAGTACACTTGAAGCTTAAATTTGAAAATGGTGAAATAGAGGAAAACAAAAACTTTTTGAACACTTTAAAAAATTTAGGCTCAGATAACGGTAAAATTTTCGGGCATTCAGGGTAAAGGTACATTTTACCATAAAATCAATTTTAACCGTAAACTGTTTGGGAACTAAAAATCTGACGGATGCTGCACCTGTATTATTATTATTGTGTTATTATGACGTTTTTCTTATACCGTGATTTGATCCGAAATTCTTCTGAGTGATTGGCAGGCATCCATATGGGGGGGGGGGGCGTTAGCAAAGCAACAAAACGTAGCGAAGCAATTAAGCGCAATTAAAATGGTGTTTTAGCATAACAACGTACACAACACATTCTTCAATTTAATCTCTCGCAGAGAAAAAAAAAAGCAAAATTACAGTACTGCATTGCAGTGGCATTTCTTGTAAAAAAATTAACAACTCAATTCTGATATTAGAAACCAAAATATATAATATTAAAACCATTCATTTGGTAATTTTCCCTTTCATATCGTAATGGTAGTAAATTCTAGTTTTTAAAATTATAGTTCTTATTAAGATCACAATTACTAAAAACTACAAACTAAAAAAATTTTAACCGAATAATGGATTTAAGTCATGCTTACAGGTTGAGGAATTTTTACTTTATTTATCACATTTTATGACAGATTAAAAAACTATATTTTATAGTTTATTTTAATAAAATCATTACCAAAGTGCATTGGTAAAAATCTATTGATATTTTTAGTGCTCCCATAGTTCCAGAAACACGGTGAATTTTACCAAGACCATACCTCTTTTCTCAGAGCAATTTAGTTGTAAATTGAAATAAATTTTAAATTGTTAACATATACATGAGTCATTTCAATAAGAGTTATGCTTCTTTTTTTTATTCATATTAGTTTCAATTTATGCATTTAGTACAATGTTCTTCAAAAGTACGTGCTGTAAAATTATGATTTAATATATATATATATATATATATTTCNATGTAAATGTTTCAAACCCCTACTGTGGTTTATCGCAGTATTTACCTCATAAATTTTCTAAAATGGTTACAGATTTTAGTTCTCAAAGAAAAATGCTTATAATAATTATTGCATTATAATAAGATTTTATTCATCAAAATTTAAATCCAAACTGAATTTAATTTATTCTTTGAAAGGAAAAAAAACTGTCCTAAGTTTAAACAAGTATTAAAATTTCCATCTTTCATCAATATATTTATTTTCATTTTGATAATTCAACTGCCAAATATCAAAATAAATCAAATTCATGTTTCATTTCTTAAACTGAAATATAAGCGAAAAAAATCCCAATATGTTCTCATTACTTTATTAAAACTTTATTTTTCAATATTGTGTATATTATATTACAAAAAAGCTTTTACCAAATCTGTAAGTTACTATTTCGTAAGTTCTCTATATCTAACACATTGTTTTACTATCTTTTCCTTTATTCACTTTTATTAATTTATTTATTTTCAAATAATGCTATGTTTATGACTGTACTACTGCCAATTGTAAGATGGCTCGATTTTTGAAAAATAAATAATTCCGTGTGTTAATAAATAATAATTCCGCATTTCATTAAAATGTTATAAAAGCTGAAGTTTTGTAATGTATCAATGAATATACAGAATAAATACAATAAAATCCATAAAAATTAATTAAGCATTTATAAGTTTCAATTCATTGTTTATGTATGATATACGATAAAATTATCCAGGAATAAACTTTCAAAGAAAGAAAATTTCATCCTACAATTCATAACAGCAATTTCCGTTATTAAGTTGGGGAGAATATATTAGATAATAAGGCTTTTAACTGCGGCTAAAATAATCAATTATTGTGAAAGTTCGGCTGTCGAATTCATTAGCCAAAATAGTAGGTATGCAGATATGCCTTTGACATTTAATGTGTTTGGCATAAAGGCGAGATGAAAATTCCATTCTTTGACGTAATGGTTCGATTTCCAGGCATGGACAAACATGTTGAGGTGCTCAAAGCTGCCTAAATAGAGAATTTAAATTATCAGTCAGAGCATTTATTCCGATTTTATGGCACATTCTGATTGAAGAGAAGAAAAGAGCCATTCATTCACTTAAAATAAGCGAGTAATAATATTTAAGAGGAAAAATCATTTTTAGAGATTGGGGAGTGATTTTTAGGAATTTAGAGTACTCGACGGGTAAGCGTTTTTGCTGATTTATGCTGACAATATGCTAAAATATTTTCAAAACAAAAAAAAACAAAAAAAACTTATCCCCTAAAAGAAATTTATTTCTATTCCAAAATGTCTATTACTGAGACAGGAGAATAGTTTTGATCACTCAAACCTTGCACGGAGAAAAAAAATATGGTCGAGCATGGTAAAATTTACTGTGTTTTTTGCTCCATAGGAACATCAAAAGCTCATTCAATTTACCGAAGCACTTTGGTAATGATTTTGGTAAAAATAATAACAAAATATAGTTTTATAGTATGCTCTAAAAGTTTTCCTATGTTGTTAAAATTTGGTAATGTTTTCATTATACTTTTGAGTAGGGCATAAAAACGATTTTCTGTTATAATTTCCACTATAAAAACCATTCGCTTAAATTTAGTTTTAAGTTTTGTACTGTTTATTAAAAGTGGGATAATAACAACTACAAATTTGATAACCAGTACACCGTTATCATATGAACAGAAAAATGTCCAAATGAGTAGTTTAAATACCATAGTTTTTTGTTGTTATTATCGGAATTACGATTTTTTTTCAACCAGTAAAGTCACTTCCATACAATTCGGTAATCATGCCAGGATTTCTTTTTTGTATGACACTCTATAGTGTCTTAGGAATTTGAGACAATTTCGGTTGGAAAATTATGTTTTATCAGATGTCAAAAAATATTTTTAATTATTTTTTTAATAAAATCTTTTTTAATTAATAATGCTTAATTATTTTTTTAAAATTATTATTCAGAAAATCTTTAAGTTTTCGTATGACATAAAGTGCTTTCTTTGCTCTGGATACCTCATGTTTTTATTTTTGAAGTACTGATATTTTATTAAATTTTTTTTCCTTGAAGTTTTAATATTTTACAGGTATAATTCTTTTCGTAGAAAGTACATATAAGTTATTATGATAATACCATATAAATATTATGCAGATTTCGGCAGAACATAACAAAATTTTGCCTCAAAAATATAATAAAGTGTAATGTTGAACACATTTCATTTCAGGTTGCAACACAATATTATTATGTGCAATTTAACATACCTCCACTTGCTCCAATTTTTTACATTTTTGCAAAATAATGGATCCCTACTAAGCAATAATTTTTAGCTGTAGAGATTATTACAACTCTTATTATACATTTTTGTTCATAGTATAATTTTTTTTTGTTTTCTTTCATACTATTGATAATATTAGTATTTTAAAGTCTTAAATACAAAAAGGGGTTAAAGAAAACTAATATTTTTCAAACATTGGAATATATAAAAATTGATGTAAAGAGACATTGTTTATCCATATAATTGTCTGTTCTTTCCTTTTTTTTATGTTTTTTATCTAGCACATATTTTTAAAAAAAATGTACGTTCAGTCAAGGGAATTGGAAAATGCATATAAATAAGAAATATTTCAAGTGAACAAGTAAATAATATTAATAAATTTAATCAGCAAATAACTGCAGATTCTGGGTAAGTAAGTAATTAAATTAAAACGAAACTTTAGTCCTGGAAGTATTAGGAACATTTTCAACTAAGAAATGTTTTAAATATCCCAATTTATAATTATGTGACAATGGGTACAAATAGCGATATTTTAAAACGTAGAATTAAGTTCATTTATTTCTGAAAGTGACAGCAACGGTTGGTAAACCCTTCAGGTACTAATAACGAAACAGTTCAATTTCGACTTTAAAATTCTGGAATAGTGAAAAGAATGCGAAACCAAGAGTCTCGTTAAAGTATTGTGATTACTTCTCAAATTCCTTACATATCCAATTCCGTTGCTGCAAGGGACATTTTCTCGAAGAAAATGGGATAATATTTGGTAGCAATTAAAAATGATATTTTCAATTAAGTTTAAAGCGATACTGCAGGGTATTGATGGGATCTTTTCGGTGTTTATTTACTAAACTCCGAAGAAAGGTGAGATCAATACGATTGGTTAATTGAAAACTGTGTTTAAACATTTTGTAAATGATTAATATGGAAATAATTATGAAAATTTGAAATATAATTGAGGATACTTATAGAAATTGCATTCATTATTCACAGAATTTAACATTAATTATTAGTAATTATAGGAATAATGACTTGTAATCTGTTCAACAATTTAAAGTGATTACAAGAATAATGTCATTTTCACCTAATAATGTTAAAAAATTTTTATAGGTAATATCAAAATTAATTTAACATTGGATTTTAAGAATGTATCTTTTGTATATAAAATAAAATGAAGGAAAGTAAATCTAAGTATTTATTATAATTTAAATTATTCACCTTGTTTGTTTAAAGTTTGAAATGATTTATTTAGAAAGGGATTTAATGTTAAGACTCGAATAGAAAATGCTTAAAAGTCAACTTAATAAACGTATGAAGAATCGTAAAGGTGCGACAGGTCCTGGGTTTGATCCTCGGGTCGGGCAAGTCAGACTCAAACTTTTACCCCTTCACTGGGTCTATAAATGAGTACCTAGCATGCTTAGAAACTAAACACTGAGGGTTCCGCGCTCGGTAGACCACATAACTGGAACCGTTTCCTTTATTTGTTTTTCTTTTTTTGACAACTTCTTGGTTTTAAATTTGTTTTGTTCTCATCATTCACATCTGGCGAGCTTTGAGAATATGCGCCTAGTTCTGAACGCTCAAAGCATGTCGTGATTTTTCGTATTAAAGCAATTGAAATCTTAAACTTAGGGATGTTATTGGTACCTGAATAAATCATTTACATTACAAATTATGAAAAGGGGAAAAAGACGACATGTTTTGAGCCTTAAAAATTGGCTCCCATTCTATCAGTACTCATCATGTGTGAATAAAAAAAATAAGAAAAATTAAAAAAACTAATTTCAAAGATATTGAGAACGCGAAGTTGTCAGCAAATAAATAAATAAATAAATAAAAATAGAATGTAAAATAAAAGGAAAAAATAAAGCTAGAAAAACCACGGTAGCCGAGAGTAACCATGTTGCACAATTTCAAAAACTTAACTCCATTATGCTGCGGTTTAGTTTGAATAAAAATGTGCTTCAGTTTACCAATTAGGTTACGATAAATTTACCTAATTTTATGCTTCAAAATACCGATGGTATAACTCAACGCGAAGCCTGTTTTACTGAGATAGTATTGCTGTTATATAAAACCAAACATCTGCACGATCTTCGATTTTCCCAGTGAAGTATATCTGTTCTTAATGATATTCCTACATCTAAAATTATAGGTTTGTAGGTTTACTGTTCTGTATCCGCCAGTAAAATGTTTATGTAAATACAAAAAGGAATTTTTGAAAGAAATTTTTACCGAACATAAATTTGAGCTTTTGGCTTGTTTAACATCCCCATAAACAATTCCTGAATTTTCAGTTCTGTTTTCTGCTGCCTTCTTTCATCATATTTCGAATATTTATTATAAAATGCGAATTAAGTTTCGAATGCCTTTTGAGGAATAATCTAACCGAGAGTAAATCTAACAGAATAATCTCTCTAAGTAAGTTTATTTTATGAATCATCGTTTCATTAAACTTAGTGTCACATGTCATAGATTTTTTTTTTGAGAAATAATACGCGATAAATATATCGTCTTAATTGTACGCTTTCTATGTTTACCATCAAGTTCACAGTACGATTTAAAATATTAATTGATTTCAGAAATTAAATAGACTATATAAAGTAAGATAGATTAATTAATTATGAAATTACTGGATTATGCGAATTTTTTTATATTTATTTTGAAAACCAGAATTCCTGTGAAACCGTTACAATATAAACGGAAAAATAAGCAAATGAATGATTTAAATATTATGTATTTTAGCTTTTATCACCGAAATCGTGTTTTTTTAATTTTATCTTTTTAAATCATAAATGCCATTATTACTGTGTATGGCAATTTTACCAGAATTTTTTATCTATGAAATAAATACATACACCTTTAATATTTTTTGAAATATTTAAAAACAAATTTTGATTAATAATTATCTAAACTTGAGTTTTTTTTTTAAAAAAAAAGGGAAAAAATAGCTAGTTGTAATATAAACAGAATAAAAACCAATCACAATTCTTTATAACAAAAATGCCCAGTCTACCACAACAGAATACAATTTACCTAAATGGATAAACAGTATTAATTAATTTTGTACTAGGAGTCTCAAAAATGGCTGACAAGTTATGGAAATTAAGTATTTAAAATTCAAATGAAAATTTTATTAAAATTAAGTGGAATTAAAAGAAAACCGAATGTCATTAAAATTACGGTTTAATAGCATGATAAAATTAGTATCAAATATCACCAACAGATGGCGCTCCCCAAATCCATACAAAAAAAAATTATAGGGCTCTTCAAGTGCAATCATGTCTACAAATTAACTATCATTTTTATTCAAACGGAAATTTAGCATTAAAGTAAAAATTTCACCAGTAGAATTATCACAACACAAGTTTTAAAAAATAATATGCAAATTACAGGAAGCCTACAGATAACGACAGTACGTGACAATGACGAGAGCGTAAGAAAGGTGTTTCCAAGGAATAATTGCAAATAATTACAATTGTTCATAAGAGTTCAGTAAGTCACTCAGTTCCATAACTGGATAGTTATGACACGAAGGACACATGTGGGTGACTTCTTATGTGATAGAATTATATACCTCCTGGAATGTTGACATACACATATTCAAGAATTCGAGGAACTTGGAATTGCCCAAATTGTCGTCTCTAGGCTTTGGAAACGATTCCAAGATGTTGGAAATATCAGTAGACGTTACTGTATAGGTCACATCCCAAGTTACAATGCCGAATGGTAACCGGTATTTGACAGTGTCTACTAAATGAAACAGATGGAGCATAGCAACCAAGCTGTCAAGTCAGCTATCTGTTTTAAGGTAACTGTTTTAAGACAAGCCGTGTACAGACGTTTAGGAAACAATGGTTTGCTGCTCGTGGTCTTGTCAAATTTGTTTCGCTTATGGAAGCTCACTTCCGTCTGCGATTAGCCTGGAGTAGACCACATGCAATGTGTATATTATCAAGTGGTCTTGTGGGATGTTTTCCGACTAGCACAGGTTTAGCTGGCAATCTGATTCACGTCGAATTTTCATATGAAGTATCCGTTACCACCAAGAAAACATCATTGAATTACACCATTTCTGTTGTTCATGATTGATCGCTCGTGATGGAATTATAATCGGCTTCGAAACAAATCAGCGTGTTCAAGTTGAAAACATGACACTCTAAATTTATCTTGACATTATTCTGAAGCTACATATACGCTTATTTAAAGGTTCCATGGGCATAGAATTTGAGTTTATGGATGACAACACTCATCTTCACCGAGCAAGCATTGTAAGCGAATGCATTCAATTTTAGGATATCACCTGTATAGAATAGTCAGCATTCTCGCCGGAATGGAATTCGATAGAACTTGTGTGGTATATACTTGACCAACGAGTTGCAGCTCGTCAAACACCTTTTATGTGTGTACCGGAACTTCAGAGAGCATTTCTTGCTGAGTGGAGTAGTTGACCAAATTATATTTTGATATTCAGGATGCCTATAGACGTAGTAAGGACTGTATTCCATTGCATGGAAAACATACAATGTAATAGTCATCATACAAACTATGTAATATGAAGTTTTCGAAAGAATAATTCTTTACTACTCTTCCAGGGAGCAAAGCTCATTGCTTTTATGATTGGAATCACACATACACCATCTCTTCTGTACTCTATCTTTTATTTAAATTAAGGGTTTTAGGAATAAGTCACTTTTGTTTCGTTTCTGAAATTTTATTTGCCGGAGATGGCATTATCCTTAATTACTATCATGACACTATTCTTAATGGTACAATACTCTTTACGGACATGATTGAAAGACATTTAATTGAGTGAAAAAATGTCAGGAGTTAGCAGCTTCATGTGCTTGTTCTGAACTTCGAATTTTACTGAACCGAAAGAAAAATGAGCAAGTTTATAAAGCAGAACACCGGAAACCGCACACTTTTATTTTGCGACCTTTTTTCTTTAATTGGATTTATAAATTATCAATCATTTTTAGGACATCCTGTGTCTGTTTATTTGACAGTCCTCAGAAAGTGAGACTTGGTTATTTGAACAATATAAATTGATAAGTTATCTGTGTAAACATTTTATTTACTTACCGCCTTTTACTTCACACAAAAGAACCAATGGATCTCCTTCATTGTATGGACCTATTAGACTTTGCAAAACTTCTTTATTTCTATCTGTAATCATTGGTTTTCCAGGTGGTACTGTAAAATTTGTGCAAGTATTAGTGTTTCTTGGTCTAAAAATATAACTAACAATACATTACTTTAGCTTTTATACTCATATAATACTCTAGTTAACTAAATCTCTATGTAAAAAATATCCCAAATCATTTTTCGTGTTCTAAGCCGTTGCAATATCATTTGGAGTATTATGTTATCTGGATAAAACTATTTTAATTTACTTACCGTGTTTATCAAAATATAATATGGTTAAATTTTCTTTATTTTTAATTCATTAAACTTTTGTATATTAAGGATTATAAGGAAAAGCATCAAATAACTATCATTTATATAAAGTAAAATAACTTTAATATATTGGGTTATTTTCTGTTGACCGTTCTTAAGAAAATTCAACTTATTTTTTTTATATAAAAAAGCGTCTGTCACCACAAAATTTAAAAAAAAAAAGAAGAAAAATATTTATAATGAAAAGTTGGGTTTACCCGCTACTAACGAAAAACTACCATTTCTTGTAATAATTTTATTAATATTGCATGTTTACTTCCTGCTTGTATAATACGAGTATTATGCTGTATTAAAATTCGATATTTAATTATATTTTACTCTTTTGTAAACTGTTATTTCTTATTACGACATTTTTCTCTAGATTTATAAAAAAAATATCGTTATTACCACAAGGACTCTATACATTAATCTTATTTAACCCTTTGATGCCGGCGAGACATTGATGTCTCATATATATTTTTTCTGACTCTCTAATTACATCTAAAAATATATTTTTGTATTTTTTAATTATAAAAACCATTATAACAGTTACTAGAAATTATCTAATGTATTATCGAAATTATATTTCTACTGAAATTAAAAATAAATACATAAAAAAATAGTTTGAGTTTTTTTATGATTTATGTTTAACGATTTATCAGTAATTGATTTTATAAATAAAAGAAATTTCATTGATGAATAATTGATTCAATAAGATCTAAATAACAGCAAATAAGAGCAAATTTGAAATTGTTTTGAAATGAGCCGTGCTTAGAAGATTTTACCTTTAACCCAAAAGAAGACACTGGTGTATCATGTTGTATTTCTTAAACATAAATTATTAAAATGCTAAATATAATATTTTTTCACTTATATTGATGCAAATTAATACACAACAGTAAAAAATACATAAAAATATGTTTAATTAATTGTCAAAGGATTGAGAACAAAAATAAGAAATAGTTTGTTTACGCATACTATGTGACAACTACAAGGAGATAAAATAATGACAAAGTTAACTTACCCACTACTTTTAAATACACTGACATATATCTCGTTCTTGCTTTTTTGAAGTCTGCTCTACATTTATATTCGCCTTCATCTTCCATCATAGCTGGATCAAGTTTTAAATAGGCTGGTCGATCTGATATCGTTAGATGAGCTCTGGTATTTAAACTGTCTTTTGCTGCATGGCGTGCCTGATCTAAACTACCTTGCCTAGCATCCAGGCTATAAATTGGCGTTGTGGATTCATCTTTGTACCAAAGAACAAGGGCTATGGCATCTTCAGCATCTTCTTCTCCGGGTGGGGTTATGTTGCATGGAAGGTGTACTGGTGATCCTGCAACACCAAGAACTATCGTTGGCGCCTCGGGTGTTTCTAAAAGTAAAGAAAGTCAGATTAGTTGTTGTAAATTAAAAAAATTGTATTAAATTACTACTTGCTAGTAGCTTACGTTACTTGAATTTTCATTCTAAACTTATAGTAAAATAACCGGTAGCAGTATCTGATAAACCATAAACTTTACGATAAGGAATATTTTAACCTTTGCGATTTTGAAAACAATTATAGCTAGTATGGTTTTTAAACCATAAATACAAAACTATGTGTTTTTTTAGCCATTTACAACTAATATGGTTTCAAAATCTCAAAAAAGAAATTTAACTGGACATAGCAGCTAGGCACTTCGTTAGGCAATGGGCATTCGATAATGCAGAACCCTTGAAACTCTTCATGTTTTGAAGGGAATTGAGGAAATATTATGGTGTCAACGCAGGGACTCGAGCTTAAGTTCTGTCGTTAATGAGACTGACAGATTAGGCCTCTTGATTGTAATGTATACGCTGTCACCAGAAACTAATTATCTTCATTATAGCTTTAGTTGTTCCGATAAAATTCTGATTGTTTAACCGGATTTGGTGAAGGCAGCTCATAAACTCACAGTTAGTTTAATTACCATCTTACACTCTATAACAAAAAAATCGACGCACTAAGAAGGAGTCGTCAAATTGAAACGAAAATTGGTGGATAGGAAGACAATGTACAGAATAGTAAATGATTAAAATTTCAGAACAATTGAACATTTAATTGCAGAGTTACAGTAATAAGTTAAACCCGCCTCTAGCCTGGATACAAGCTGCTACATGGCGTGGCATAGAGACCGATAAAGCTCCCGGATGGTCTCTTGCGGTATTTCCTGCCAAATTCGATCAAATTGCTAAACGAGGTCACCAACATTCCGCCATCGCCTTCCCATCATGTCCCAGACATGCTCGATGGGAGAGAGATCTGGTGATCTGGCAGGCCAAGAAAGAGTTTGACAAGCTTGCAGACAGTTCATAAAAACACGTGCCGTATGTGGTCTGGCATTGTCCTGCTGAAAAACCAGCCCAGGGCGCTGCAAAAGGAACGGTAGCAAAACAGGTCTTAGGATGTCGTCGACGTACCGCTGTGCAGTAAGAGTACCTCTAATGACGACCAAAGGGGTCTGGCTGTCAGAGGAAATGGCACCCCAGACCATATTGCCTTGATGAGGGCCTGTGTGGCGTGCAATAGTGAAGGCAGTATCCCCCCTCTGCCCTGTGCGTCTCCAAACACGTCGTCGATGATCATCAGGACACAGTTGGAAGCGGGATTCGTCGCTAAGGACTATACGTCCCCTGTCGCCACATTCATGTATACGAAATTTCAAAGCAATCGGATGATTGCTTCTTGGTGCGTCGATTTTTTTGTTATATAGTGTATTTATGATTATTTGACTGTTTTATTTGAATATGTTAAAATTAAAATTTAAAAAATTATTATTTATTTATTTTTCCCAGAAATGTCTAACAGTTTAGGCATACTGTCATAAGTCATTATTGGAAAAAATAATTTAGCATGCCCCATTAATTTAATAGGGCGCTATACTGGCAAACCATTATAGTAACCAATTATGGGAAATTCTCTTTTACCTCCATAAGTAATTTAAAGTTAAAATACAAAAAAATATTGAGTTCAAATAAACCAGGAGTAAAATATGAAGTTTTAAAATGCGGACAAATTAATTTTAATATTAGGATTTATAATTTTAGGATCGCATATTTTTCTATTTCAAAAACATTTTTCTCAGAATTTCTAACTTCATGGTTTACTCTACGTTTACCAGAACTCACTTTCGTTTAAACAATAACATTGAAGGGGAAACAAAATTTGTCACACAAAGTTTCTCTCTCGTTATAGTGTCCTCTTCAGTATATTTACTGCTGTAGGAGAAAGGGTCAAAGCAAAGCGTATAGTTAATCATTATGTATTAATTCAGACCAAGAATTACCAGAGACCATATCGAAATATCTAGGTCATTTAATAAACAAATTAATTCAAACACTTTTCTTGAAAATCATAGAAACCATGATTAGTAAATTTTCAAAAAATATTATAATATATTTCACAAAAAGCAACTGTAAATACTGAATTCACTAAAAAAAAAATTAATAAATAAGAAACTATCATAAAGTTTTTAGTTATTCTATTTGGACTAAAATATAATTTAAAATACGAAATAAAGTAGGAATATAATTTTTATTTTTCATTTGCATCTAAAAAAAATTCTTATAACTTTTAAGAAAAAAGTAATGAAGCTTAGAAATAAAGTTAGTTATTTAAATAAATAAGACAACAAATACGAAATAATTAACTTCAAAAATGTTGTTGAAGATAAAAAAAAAAGTTATGCAACTTTATTTAAGATACATTAAGTGATCTGTTTAAATAAATAACAATCGAAAAATATGTTTTACGTAAGCCCTTGACTTACCTTTTGAGATTTGACAACGTTGAAAACAATTAAATTGAAAGTAAATGTAATGAGAAATTTAATTATTATCTCGAAGTATTTTCATCGGAATACATTAATTAAGTCATTATTAATCATTATAAATATGAAGCATTTTGAAAAGGTGAGTGTGAATTAAGTCTTGCGTAAAGATGATGCTAAAAAAATATATTGTGTTTTTACAAGTTCGCTTTAATCCTACATATTCTGGAAATTTAAGTGCGAGTTGTTCAGATATTAAAATATAATCCGCCTTAAAAGGCCATGTAAGGATATTTTTTTAAAAGTAAACAGCTTTCAACGAAAGTGTGGTTATTGAATATCTTATCAAAATTCAAAGTAAAGAGCTAAAAAAAAAATTAAATAAAGGAAAATGTCTGGTTAAACAGAAATTTAATTAAGGAGAAAATTACAATAGCATTTATCTTGTACTTGAATTGTATTAAATTTAATATATTCCGCTGTTATTAATTTTAAACTTTTTTCTTCATTAATGCAAGAATTAAAGTAATTGCGATTATTATAATACAATTTTTTAGCGTAATTAAACTTTCAGAAAATAAGATATTAAAATTTGCTTTAAAGGTAATTATGCTATCTTATCTATTTATTATATTAATAGCTATTTCAATTATTTCAGAATTTTATTAGATTTTAAAATAATAATTTTCGAAAGATTCTAAATTAATTATAAAAGAGATAAATTATCGACTTACTGAAATAATTTTAATATAAAGATGAGTAGTAATTAATTACTAGACAGGGTCCATAATGAGAAACAGTTTTTAGGTTCCTCGCGAATTTTTCTCGTGATTTTACTTCATTATTATTAGTATTTAATTATTATTATTATTATTATTTTGTTATTATCAATTTTTCATTATTATTATTATTTCAGTATTATTATTTATATTATTTAATTATTATTACGCTTATTATAATAACACATTTTCATGAAAAACATACTTCAAATTTTGAGTTACCTATTCAAGTTGCATAAATATCACTACAATGTTTGAAAAGGATATTTGAAAGAATGACAAAAAAAAATACTAAGTTTAAACTATATATTAAGAAAATCTTATCTACTATAAAAAAAAAAATTCATAAAAATCTCCCGCCACACTGATATTACTGTGTTTTTTATTTTAACCAGTTATTTACTGGCAAATTAAATAATTAATTTATTCTAACTGTGCAAAAGTCACGTTGTTAACTGCCCAGTATTAAATAATGCATCAAAATTAGAATATTTCAGTGTTGCTCGTAAATGATTTATAGCTGATAGGGTCGATAAATGTCATTTGTTATGCCGTAGTTGGTTATTGATCTAAAGTCAACAAACTATATATTACGGCTAAACAGCTGGGAAATACCAAGCTGTGATGACATCATTGACGTTATGAAAGCGATATCTCTAATATTAAAGCCAAAACCAATGATTTATTTATTTATTGTTTCCCTATCACAAACGTCAATCAAAATTCACTAGAGGCGAAAATGAATTTGCTAGCAAAATGAGTACTTTTTAATGAGCATTTTAGTTTTTATATATCTTACCATGACCATTTCAAACACGAAATATGTTTTTATAGGAAATTTTAATATATTTTGATACATGAGTAATTTGAGATGATTTAATATTAAGACCCATTTTTCACCAAAAGTGGTATTTTTACAACAAAAAAAGTTCCTTAGTACTGTTTCTAGATAAGCATTTAAAAGTTTATAGAATTTTGTCTAGATAACTTCATTACACTCAAAAACAGTTTATTTTTTCCATGTATAAAATAGGTTTTTATCTCAAGATGTTCTTTGAAAAAATCTGGAAATATCTGGATTATAATAACGGAAACAATTGATACATAAAATGTCTAGGAGCCAAAAAAAAAAAAACAAAAAAACAACAACATATTTTATAAAATCCGTCAATACTAGCTTTTTTGCCACAATTATCTTGAGATACCTTATTCATTTCGGAATTAAGCTTCTTTAAAAATTTTTACTCAGTGAAAAAATTCTGGTAAAATTACCGCACTATATTTCAGTTACATTTCTGGTAGTAAAGAAAAATATACGATATTTAAATCATACATTTGATAATATTCCCGTTCATATGGTAACGGTTTAGAGAAAATTCTGAAATTATAGTTTTAATTTCCACGAATTTAGAAAATAATATAAAACTTAAAAATAAATTTAACCGAAAAAATGGCTCCAGTGTATCATGATAAATATACCAAGTTTTACAAATTAACTAGTTTTTTCCCCAGATTATAAAACCATATTTTATTGTTAACTTTACGAAAATCAATACCAAAGTGCTTCGGTAAAAATTAAGATGGTTTCTTCATATACTCCCATAGATTTAGAATATGGTAAATTTTATCATATACTGGTAGATTCGAGAACACTTTTTTCTCAGTGTAGAATATGATATATGGTCTAGTTAAAAATTTAAATTTATATAAATGTCATGACATATTTGAATTTTGTTTAATTTTTTTAATTAATAAATTATTATAAAATTTTATTTAGCATTGAATTGCATTAACATCAATTTTGT